TGGGAAACAATTATCCCTATTCACTACAGTGACTACACACCATCAGAAGACCACATGGAGTGCATTAAAGCGAAAACTGACATTCTCATAAAGAATCTCACAGTACCTGGCATCACTGAGGTTACAACAGGACAGGGAGATGGTGTCTGACACAACGAGTGTCGTATTCGCATAACAGCTTCAGTGTGTAAGCAAGTTTTCACTTGTAAATCTGAGACGGCTGCTGAAAATATAGTGTTCAGTAAATTGTGGGGCAAACCAATATTCACTGCTGACTGGGGCCAAAAAACGAAGACAAGGCACGTAAAGAATTTCAGGGAACCCACGGAAATTTAGCTGTTAAGGAATCAGGGATGTGGACAAATGGCAAATACCCTAGCCTTTCTGCATCGCCTGATGGTGTGATCACCGACAAGGGCCAAAATATAGCAGTCCTGGAAATTAAATGTCCATACTGTTTGAAGACCGAAAATCCTGTTAGCTTTGAAAAAGATCTGCGTCAGAAGCAGGTAAAAAAAATTTGCTTGAATTCTGACCTAAAGCTAAAGCGTAACCATGCATATTACTACCAATGCCAGATGCAAATGGGAGTCTTGGAAGTACCCAATTGCTACTTCGTTGTATGGTCACCCAATGGTATGACATGCGAGAAATTACAGTTTGACCCAGTGTTCTTTGCAAACATTGTGAAACGTCTCACAAAATTTCACCAAACCAAGTTGATTCCAGAACTGTTTGAAATGAGACTCCCCAGAAGGCTGCCAATGCTGAGCATTGAATGAGTAGTACAATATTTTCTCTATTAGAAGCGCACTTTATAAATAACAATGGTTTTCTATGGTTAAAATATTTCAACATTTCTTTATACAGATAATGCAACTTTTGTTCTACCTGTGCTTCTATTAGAGGAAATACGGCACTTTATTTTGATTACCTCAGTCACTTTCATATATTCTGCACACAGTGTGAACTACATTGTACTTCAGTGAACAACCAAATGTGGAAAGAAAATACAATAAATTAATCAGAGTATTTTATTGCTTAATTTGGAATTCAAACACATTGTATATGTACATCAAATTGGATGAATAAAGCAAGTACAATAATTTTTTTTCACTTTCGCAGTGCATTTGAAAATACTGTATGATTTCTAGTTGCACTATGAAAAGCAAATTGTTTTGCCATATCATGTTTTATAAGTCACTTTTACAATTTTGTTATGAAATAAAATATTGAATTATTTACATTTACCCGGTATTTGTCTATTCTACCCCTGAACTCTC